TTCAATATTTCCCTTAATGTCTCCCATTCCACACAATCGAACGCTTTAAAAATATCTAATGATAATATCCCTGCCTTTCCCTTCCCTTCTTTGGCCCCATGAATTTTATTTAGTACTCTCCCTGTCAAATTTGACATTTGTCTTCCTTTTATAAACCCACACTGGTCTTCTTTTATATACTTATACATACATTTATTCATTCTATTAGCTAATATCGCGGATCAGATCATGATATGAATAAAGATAACAGTTTAAATAATGCACCAGTAAGGCCTTTTCGCAAACCACCATGAGAATTTCAGGGGGGGGGCTGAAGCCCCTCAAGCCACCCCCCCCCCCCCGGCTACATGCCTGGTTACATTGTTTGGACCACAACTTTCAGAATCTCCAGGTATCACATTAGTTGAGGAATCCAGAATGTGTAGTGATAAAAAGTAGCATTTCCTAGCTTTGCTAAGGACCTAATAATTGGCAGAATTCTGTCTCCTAGTTTGTTCACCTTCATTTTCTCCAATCAGGTTTTCAAACCTAATTATATTTTTTAATTCTCTAAAACCACCTAGAGACATTAATGAAAGCTTTGTAAATATACAGAACAGAGACTGACCCTCTTTACAGTGGAAACCCTAAGTGTCACCAGGTGGGCTTCACCTAGTATTGCAGTTCTTGCTATTTATTCATACTTTAAACCTCAGTCAGGAATAATTTTTTTTGGTAGCCTGGAAAGTCAGAGCTTTTAAGTACTTTTGTAGTGTCATGGGAGTCATGTTCAGCAGGATCCTTTTGACTTTGCAGCCTCTCATATTTAACTGACATTACATGCCACTCATCAGTGTCACTGTCAAGAGACATCAAGAGCAGCTGCACACAAGTGGTGGCTGCATCCTCTCCTTTTATCCACCTGGAACAACTTCACGGTACCTAAAAAGGGATTTTTTTTTTTAAAAAAAAACCAACCCAACAGTAACTCAGTTTCAGAAAAAATGAACAGGATAAGTGTGGGTATCCATAACAAAACATGATTTGTATTTGGCTCACATCCCAATTTTCCTATCATTTCTGAAGAGAAAGCAACACCATTTTGAAAGTTGCTTGTGATGACTTGGTCTGAGGGGGAAAATGCAACAATGCTCCATCTGAGACCACCCTCCAACTGGGAATTGAATATTCTGTCAACTTTTGTCTTTGTCCTTATTCCTTTTTTTTAAAAAAAAAAAAATCCTAATTGAGTCCTCTACAGTTTTTATGATACAGTAACAAATTCAGTCTCAAAGAAAGCAAAAATGGGATATGGGTTTTACATATAAACTAAGTTGAACAGGTATATATGAAGAGAGAAGAAGTATTTGGTCTAGATGGGATGGGCAGAAGATCAGTAAGATGTTTTATTAACACTTTACTGATCATCTGCGCAACACATCTTAATGCAGTACCAAAGTGGGAAGCTTACTCAGTATCTGGGATAGTAACTAGTCCTTTAATGTGTGTTGTGTGCTGGAAAATCATTGTGCCTGTTCATATCACTGTAGATAGGTTGCACTTTGTAGGTATATACACATGCTTCTATTGCTAATCTCCTTTGAACATTTCATGCTTAAAAAAACATTGAAGACTAGGCCTGTTCTATTTCTCTGCTAGACCCTATGTGTTGTTATTAGTGGTATGGGACTGGTTATTGCTCACCATCCACCTGCACATAGTAACTCTTCTAGTTGTGAGGTATATTACTATCTCTCTTGTTCCCTGATAATCCAATGGTATGCCCAATATTAGAATTTTTTATATTATGTTCTGGTAATGTGAAATGCAATTGAGGACTAGCAAAGCTGTGTCCTATGTATTTTATTGTTGCAGAAAGTGACTTCTGCTCCAAAGCCATAAAGGCAATATTAATATTATTAATATTGAGAAGTTCATTGCCTTTGCTAGGCATAACATGTATTTTAAAGACATTAGCTTCAAGAAGATGTATTTTTGGAATTATGGGGCACATCTATATTGATCACCTACAGGCATGTAGCCGGGGGGGGGGGGGGTTTGAGGGGTTTCAGCTCCCCCCCCCCCAAATTCTCAGGGTGGTCTGCGAGAAGGCCTTACTGGTACATTATTTAAACTGTTATGTTTATTCATATCATGATCTGATCACCATGCTCAATATATCCCATATGCATGGGGCTATTGGGATAACGATACAAAAGATTTGCTAGGATAGATCCTCATTCCCCCCCCCCAATCAAAATCCTGGCTACAGGCCTGATTAGCTAGATCAATGTAGGCCTGGATTAGCTCCATGTGACTGAAAACTGCATAGAGCTGATCCTGGATAATGTAGAGCAAGGTCACCTTCACATTAGCCAAAGTTGGGATAGTCTAAATTCTAGCCCCAATTTTGAGCTATCCTCCAACTTTGAGCCTCTCAGAAGAGTTTGGCCAGTTCTGAAATGGAACTATCCACAACTGTCTTCAATGCCATTGTCCCCTCCTGCCTTTCTTATTGTGGTGGTCTCCTGATATGACATAGGTTCTACCTGTCAACCAACATCTGCAATGACATTGGCTGGGGCAATGGGTGCTCTCAGAAAAAAAGGAGAGGATTCTGCCTCTCCCCCATTCTCCTCCCTCCTTACCATAATGCTGTGTGACACAGAGGGCTGGAGGGGATCCTGCCATCCCATGTCCCTGGATAACTTGAGCCAAGAAAACGCGGGATGAGTATGTGTAGTTCTGGTCATGGTTTCCTCAGGCACATACCATTTCTGCCCTTCCAAAAACTACCTTAGTTATATGCATGTATTTGATAAACCTGAAAACCATATTGCAATAGAATTCATTCTAGTTATCATATTGTGTTTGATTGAGAATCCCATAGTTATGACATTAAGATGAGATCCCCCACCCCTTTCCCATTAAGTGGCATGGAAAAGTTTAGTCTGGTCCTTAACATGAACAATTCATTCTGAATAAATGCAGTGAAGTGGAGGTAATAAATACCTGTCAGTAATTAGAGCCAAGGGCACATTTTTCATCACAAACTCTGGCAGACAAGAGATTCTTCCAAGAGCGCAATAATATTTTATTGTCATTTATGTTACGAGTCTACTAGAACAGAAATTGGCTCATGTAGAAGGTTCATTGAAACACGCTGCATCCACTCTGCCCCCTTTTTGTGTTCCCCATGAGTAACAATAACTTTGTCATTTGGCTACTTTCCACAATTTTATATAGGAGACAGAGAGATAACACAGGAGTAACAATATGACTTAAGGGCTGTCAGAGTGTATATGGAAAAATGTAAATGCATGGTTTTATTTGCCCTGGAATGCCTGAGTATGTTACTGTTACAGGAATAATGTTGGATTTCAGCAGAATTTAGTTCTTGTGGGTTTTTTCGGGCTATATGGCCATGTTCTAGAGGCATTTCTCCTGACGTTTCGCCTGCAACTATGGCAAGCTTCCTCAGAAGTGAGGTCTGCTGGAGCTGGGAAAAAAGGGGTTTATATATCTGTGGAATGACCAGGGTGAGACAAAAGGCTTTTGTAAGTTGGGCTGGGTGTGAATCTTTCAACTGACCACCTTGATTAGCATACAATGGGCTGACTGTGCCTGGAGCAAACTCTTCTTGAAAGGTGATTAGATGTCCCTGCCTGTTTTTCTCCCTGCTGTTTTGCTGTTGCAATTTTAGAATTTTTTAATACTGGTAGCCAGATTTTGTTCATTTTCATGGTTTCTTCCTTTCTGTTGAAATTGTCCACATGTTTGTGGATTTCAATGGCTTCTCTGTGTAGTCTGACATGGTGGTTGTGAGAGTGGTCCAGCATTTTGTGTTCTCAAATAAAATGCTGTGTCCAGGTTGGTTCATCAGGTGCTCTGCTATGGCTGATTTCTCTGGTTGGAGTAGTCTGCAGTGCCTTTCATGTTCCTGGATTCTTGTTTGGGCGCTGCGTTTGGTGGTCCCTATGTAGACTTGTCCACAGCTGCATGGTATACGGTAGACTCCTGCAGAGGTGAGAGGATCCCTCTTGTCCTTTGCTGAACGTAGCATTTGTTGGATTTTCTTGGTGGGTTTGTAGATTGTTTGTATGTTGTGTTTCCTCATCAGCTTCCCTATGCGGTCCGTGGTTCCCTTGATGTATGGCAGGAACACTTTTCCTCTGGGTGGATCTTCATCTTGACTCTCGTGGCTTGTTCTTGGTCTTGCAGCTCTTCTGATGTCTGAGGTGGAATATCCATTGGCTTGTAGAGCCCAGTTGAGGTGGTTCAGTTCATCTTGGAGGAGGTGGGGTTCGCAGATTCTTTTTGCACAGGAAAATGGAGAAAAACATGGCTGTCCACACCAACAGACAAAAACAAAAATTCCACAAACGCCAAAAGCAACAGCCGAAACCAGAACTGGATACATCACGGACCATCATCAACCTGACAGACAGACAACTCTCTGAAGACCAAGTATCCATACTAGCGAAAGGAGGAAACTTTGCTGTAACCGCCACCAGGATCCCAGTAGAAAACATCATTGCCAATGTCGAATCAGCAATTTACCGCCTCCCAGAGGAAGAAGCAGAAGAAGTACGAGCGGAAGCAGCAAGGATCCTGAAAAAGGCAAAACTCCCCTCCAGTAACATTACAAGGAAGGAAAGACAAGCCATTAGAGACCTAAATTCAGATCCTGATATCCTCATTCTGCCAGCAGACAAGGGGAATGCCACAGTCATCATGCATACAGAACAATACAAGGAGAAGATCAGAAAACTCCTGGACCCTACTATATACAGAAAACTCAAGCAAGACCCAACTCCCAAAATAACCAGAAAAACCAACACTCTAATTAAAAACTCCTCAATCAACTTCGACATACGACAGCAGCTATGTAAATCGGAAGCCCTTCCACCCAGGCTTTATGGACTCCCCCCCACTCAGACCCATCGTGACTGCCATTGGGTCCCCCACATATGACTTAGCCAAATTTCTTGCTGCACAGTTACAAAGCCACATTGGGCTCACTACACACTACATCAAGGACTCAGCCCACTTCATTGAAAAAATCAGCAATCTCAAGCTAAATACCAACGACAAACTGATCAGCTTCGATGTGGTGTCTCTATTTACCATGGTCCCAGTTGCAGACACCATGGCACTCATCAACCAGAGGTTCCCAGAAGACATCACGGTGCTGTTTCACCATTGCCTCACCACCAGCTATTTTCAGTGGGACAATGAATTCTACGAACAGAAAGATGGAGTAGCTATGGGGAGCCCTCTCAGCCCAGTCATAGCTAACTTCTACATGGAACAATTTGAAAAACAAGCTCTTGAAACAGCAACCAAAAAGCCCACTATATGGTTCAGATATGTGGATGACACTTTCACCATTTGGAGCCATGGAGAAGAAGAACTCAACAGGTTCCTGGAACATCTTAACAGCATCCACCCTAACATCGAGTTCACTATGGAAAAAGAAAAAGAAGGAAGACTGCCTTTTCTAGATGTCCTAGTCATCCGCAAACCAGATCAACAATTGGGTCACACCGTTTACAGAAAACCCACACACACAGATAGATATCTACATAAAAACTCCAACCATCACCCAAGTCAAAAAAGAAGCACCATCAAAGCCTTGGCAGACCGTGCAAAAAGAATCTGTGAACCCCACCTCCTCCAAGATGAACTGAACCACCTCAACTGGGCTCTACAGGCCAATGGATACTCCACCTCAGACATCAGAAGAGCTGCAAGACCAAGAACAAGCCACGAGAGTCAAGATGAAGATCCACCCAGAGGAAAAGTGTTCCTGCCATACATCAAGGGAACCACTGACCGCATAGGGAAGCTGATGAGGAAAACACAACATACAAACAATCTACAAACCCACCAAGAAAATCCAACAAATGCTACGTTCAGCAAAGGACAAGAGGGATCCTCTCACCTTCTGCAGGAGTCTACCGTATACCATGCAGCTGTGGACACGTCTACATAGGGACCACCAACGCAGCATTGCCCAAACACGAATCAAGGAACATGAAAGGCACTGCAGACTACTTCAACCAGAGAAGTCAGCCATAGCAGAGCACCTGATGAACCAACCTGGACACAGCATTTTATTTGAGAACACAAAATGCTGGACCACTCTCACAACCACCATGTCAGACTACACAGAGAAGCCATTGAAATCCACAAACATGTGGACAATTTCAACAGAAAGGAAGAAACCATGAAAATGAACAAAATCTGGCTACCAGTATTAAAAATAAAAAAAATTCTAAAATTGCAACAGCAAAAACAGCAGGGAGAAAAACAGGCAGGGACATCTAATCACCCTTCAAGAAGAGTTTGCTACAGGCACAGTCAGCCCATTGTATGCTAATCAAGGTGGTCAGTTGAAAGATTCACACCTAGCCCAACTTACAAAAGCCCTTTGTCTCACCCTGGTCATTCCACAGATATATAAACCCCTTTTTTCCCAGCTCCAGCAGACCTCACCTCTGAGGATGCTTGCCATAGATGCAGGCGAAACGTCAGGAGAAATGCCTCTAGAACATGGCCATATAGCCCGAAAAAACCCACAAGAACTGAGTGATTCCGGCCATGAAAGCCTTCGACAATCCATTTTTCAGCAGAATTCTTTTGAAAACATCTAAAAGTGTAGCTTCCTCATCTGAGCAACATAGTGATGTTTTGATAATATCATAGGGAGTGGGATGGGAGATTAGGATTTTTGTTACAGTCATTTGTGCTTTAATCACCTTGAGAAAGTTTTCTTGCAAGAATCATCTCAGCAATAATGTGTTATTGTGTGCTATTTCTGTTATAATGAAAGGGGATGGCTTAGTTTTGAATGAGTAATTAAAGTCCTACCAGGGATCTGTTCTTATTGGAATATATATATATATATATATATATATATATATATATATATGCTAGAAGTGATTTTTAATATGCAGCAGTACAGCTGCTTGTATTTTGCATTCCCACTGAAGATATGATACAAAAACATGTGGTACTTTAAATTATACCACTTATGCCAGAGAAAATATTTTTGGAGTTCTAGCTGGCTGCCTATTTGCTCCAGGCTCAAGTCATCAACCATGATCAACTATGAAGCCCTTATAATCTTGGTCCAGGTAAATGGTTCTTTTTGTATGTGCTTCAGATGAAACCTGGATTTTGTTACCCACGTAGTTGTGCCCTGGTGAAGTCTAACTGTTCTCATAATTCTCTTTTTTTAAAAAAATCATGCCATTTTGAATGCTTTTAACTTCAAAAACTATACATGTTTACTATACTAATCACATTTTAGGCTAAAGCTATAGACCCGAACATTCAATTGGATGGAGCCATGGAAGCTGAATTGGCACCAAGTCACTATATTTGTATACTGTGAATACAACCACACTTTCTTCATGCAGTCAGGGCTTTCCAGGGTTTCTGATCATGTGAAAAGTCTCAATCTGTTGTTGTTGTTCATTCGTTCAGTCGTCTCCGACTCTTCGTGACCTCATGGACCAGCCCACGCCAGAGCTCCCTGTCGGCCGTTACCACCCCCAGCTCCCTCAAGGTCAGTCCATTCACTTCAAGGATGCCATCCATCCATCTTGCCCTTGGTCGGCCCCTCTTCCTTTTGCCTTCCACTTTCCCCAGCATCATTGTCTTCTCTAGGCTTTCCTGTCTCCTCATGATGTGGCCAAAGTACTTCAACTTTGTCTCTAGTATCTTTCCCTCCAGTGAGCAGTCGGGCTTTATTTCCTGGAGGATGGACTGGTTGGATCTTCTCGCAGTCCAAGGCACTCTCAGAACTTTCCTCCAACACCACAGCTCAAAAGCATCGATCTTCCTTCGCTCAGCCTTCCCTAAGGTCCAGCTCTCACATCCGTAGGTTACTACAGGGAATACCATGGCTTTGACTAGGCGGATCTTTGTTGCCATTCTGATGTCTCTACTCTTTACTATTTTATCGAGATTGGACATTGCTCTCCTCCCAAGAAGTAAGCGTCTTCTGATTTCCTGGCTACAGTCTGCATCTGCAGTAATCTTTGCACCTAGAAATACAAAGTCTGTCACGGCCTCCACGGTTTCTCCCTCTATTTTCCAGTTGTCAATCATTCTTGTTGCCATAATCTTGGTTTTTTGACGTTTAGCTGCAACCCGGCTTTTGCGCTTTCTTCTTTCACCTTGATTAGAAGGCTCCTCAGCTCCTCCTCGCTTTCGGCCATCAGAGTGGTGTCATCTGCATATCTGAGGTTGTTAATGTTTCTTCCAGAATTTTCACCCCAGCTTTGCATTAATCAAGCCCGCACATCGCATGATGTGTTCTGCATACAAGTTGAATAGGTTGGGTGAGAGTATACAACCCTGCCGTACGCCTTTCCCAATCTTGAACCAGTCTGTTGTTCCATGGTCAGTTCTTACTGTTGCTACTTGGTCCTTATACAGATTCCTCAGGAGAGAGATAAGGTGATTTGGTATGCCCATACCACCAAGAACTTGCCACAATTTATTATGATCCACACAGTCAAAGGCTTTAGAATAGTCAATAAAGCAGAAGTAGATGTTTTTCTGAAACTCCCTGCCTTTCTCCATTATCCAGCGGATATTGGCAATTTGGTCTCTCGTTCCTCTACCTTTTCTAAACCCAGCTTGAACATCTGGCAACTCTCACTCCATGTATTGCTGGAGTCTTCCTTGCAGGATCTTGAGCATTACCTTACTGGCATGAGAAATAAGGGCCACTGTACGGAAGTTTGAGCAGTCTTTCGCATTTCCCTTTTTGGTATGGGGATATAAGTTGATTTTTTCCAGTCTGATGGCCATTCTTGTGTTTTCCATATTTGCTGGCAAATGGCATGCATCACCTTGACAGCATCATCTTTTAAGATTTTAAACAGTTCAGCTGGGATCCCGTCATCTCCTGCTGCCTTGTTGTTAGCAATGCTTCTTAAGGCCCATTCAACCTCACTCCTCAGGATGTCTGGTTCTAATTCATTCACCACACCGTCAAACTATCCTCAATATTATTATCCTTCCTATACAGATCTTCTGTATAGTCTCGCCACCTTCTCTTGATCTCTTCAGCTTCTGTTAGGTCCCTGCCATCTTTGTTTCTTATCATACCAATTTTTGCCTGAAATTTACCTCCAATGTTTCTAATTTTCTGGAAGAGGTCTCTTGTCCTTCCTATTCTGTTGTCTTCTTCCACTTCCATGCATTGCTTATTTAAAAATAGTTCCTTATCTCTTCTGGCTAACCTCTGGAATTGCGCATTTCACTGGGCATATCTCCCCTTATCCCTGTTTCCTTTTGCTTTCCTCCTTTCTTGGGCTACTTCCAGTGTCTCAGCAGACAACCATTTTGCCTTCTTGGTTTTCTTTTTCTTTGGGACGTACTTTGTTGCCGCCTCCTGAACAATGTCTCGGACTTCTGTCCATGGTTCTTCTGGGACTCTGTTTACTAAATCTAGTCCTTCAAATCTGTTCTTCACTTCCACTGTATATTCGCTAGGAATGTTAGTGAGATCATATCTAACTGGTCTGTGCATTTTCCCTGATCTCTTTAGTTTTATTCTAAATTGGGCAATAAGAAGTTCGTGATCTGAGCTACAGTCAGCCCCAGGTCTTGTTTTCACCGACTGGATGGATGTCCGCCACCTTTGGCTGCAAAGGATGTAGTCAATCTGATTTCGGTGTTGACCGTCTGGTGAGGTCCATGTGTAAAGCCGTCTTTTAGGTTGTTGGAAGAGAGTATTCGTTATACACAGCGAGTTTTCCTGGCAAAATTCTCTCAGCCTGCGTCCCGCTTCATTTTGTTCTCCCAGACCATGCTTGCCTGTGATCCCAGTTGTCATTTGACTTCCCACCTTGGCATTCCAGTCTCCTGTAATGAAAATAATGTCTCTTTTGGTGTATTATCCAGTAGGTGATGATCCTCATAGAACTGATCTACTTCTGCTTCTTCAGCAGCTGTGGTTGGAACATATATTTAGATGTCATGTTGAAAGGCTTTCCTTGCACTCGAATTGAGATCATTCTGTCATTTTTTGGGTTGTATCCAAGCACCGCTTTAGCGAATTTCTTATTAATTATGAAGGCTACTCCATTTCTTTGATGGTCCTCTTGTCCGCAGTAGTAGATCTGGTGGTCATCTGATGTGAAGTGGCCCATTCTAGTCCATTTCAGTTCGCTGTCCCCCAGAATGTCTATTTTTAATCTTGACATCTTACCAATAGCAACATCCAGTTTGCCCTGGCTCCTAGATCTTACATTCCAGGTTCCTATGGTATATTGATCTTTAGAGCATTGGATTCGTCATTCACCTCCAGCACCATCGGCCACTAGCCTTCCTTTTGGCTTTGAGCTAGCTGCGTCATCACATCTGGGGCTAGTTGAACTTATCCTCTGCTCCTACCCAGTAGCATTTTGGCCATCTTCCGACCTGGGAGTCCCATCTTCCAATGGCATACCGACATATCTCTGGTTGTACTGGTCCATTTAGTTTTCTTGGCAAGGATACTGGAGTGGTTTGCCATTGCCTTCCCCAGGGATCACGCTTGGTCTGACCTCTCTGCCACAACCGTCCCGTCTTGGGTGTCCCTTCACGGTTTCGCTCATGACATCATTGAGGTGCTCAAGCTCCAGCGCCCCGACAAGGCGGTGATCCTTTGCTTGATCCTTTGCTCAATCTGTAGAGAAAATATTTCTTTTTAGACTGTTTCTCTTCCTGTGTGGAGATGAATGGTACTGTTGGGTACAGATAACATACTCGCATCTTGCTTATTTACCTTTACCAGATTTATTTATTATCTGATGCTGAGAAAAGTGGGATCTAAATGAATGAATTAA